TATTCTGCTTATCAGCTCTGAACACCGTGCATTTTGCCAGTGACCAAGGCATGGGAAGTTCCTTGCCCAAAAGCCAGTTTTGCCAAGAAGAAAAAAAGCATCAAAGTGGAGTGTCTTTGGTGCTCAACATTCTCTCAGGAATAGATCAGTGTTGCCAGGAGCAATCATGTCTCATGTTAACAGAGCCCAAAGTTATTTAAATGTCATGTTCTACAGTTCTTTGAAATGGTTGAAGATTACCTATCTATGCAGAATATAGTCCCTATGCATCCAAAGAACCTGATTAGTCTAACTATAAGATGCCAAATATGGATGACTATTGACCTATGAATCTTAATACCTATATAACTTAAAGACTAAGACTTCATATTAGAATATTAAACAATCTTTAAACAACTGTGCAGTAAATGAACACAATGACCTCAAAATATAAACAATGTATAAGTATCTTGATCAGAGGTAGAAATGTATAGTGCAATATGATAAATATATCTTAAAATTGTATCAATATAAAAAATATCTTAAATAGAGGTAGTAACATATATGCATACAATATGACAAAATAACTTTGCATAGATGTACAAATATTATAAACAGAAATAGCATATTCAATGTAACAAATATAATTTGAATTTGTATCAATATACAAGAATTTATACCAATGTAAATTACCTATAAAAATAGTTCACAAGTATTGACTCTATTGCTCACTATTATTAGTGTGAGTAAGCTCACACTTATTATTCCATTCAATTTCCCTTTTTTTTTTCAAAGAGATCCTTGAGCCTACAAAACTTTACCCCAACTCTAACTCTATACCTGTTATAATCAACGGGTAATTGATGTCCCTAACCCTGAGGACAAACTTTGTTGGGAGAGGGGACTTTGTCTTCTCCCAGGCTTATAAATTATCAGTTCCTGGGCATGCTGTTAATCATTCTGGTTGTAGGGTAAAACCAGAACAGTAGTTTGGGCAGGTAATAATTCTATGTCCATCTTAGATGGAATGCTCTATGCCTGGACCCTAAGCACTGACCAAATGCCTGCTGATAAAGATAATCACAGGAAGGCAGATCTCTGCGTTTACCTAGGAAGGAGGAACAGAGTCCTGGCAGTGAAAGGAAACAGTTAACTGTGGGAATTAATTCCCAAATATGTAACAGAAAGGGAGTTCAGCTACAGTGAAAAATCTACAGCAAAGGACGGCCACTTTATTCACAAGGCAGTAATGCCAAAAAGCTTTGTTTTTTGGTTCAGCCTTTATCAGTCCCCTTGGTTCTGATGAATTGCTCATGAATTCATGATGCTCATGATTCAGATGGCTGAGCAATTACTGTATCATGTTGCAGCTTGTAGCAAGGGATGGTATGAAATTATTTTTCTAAGAACCGTCCTTAAATCATGTGATTCCAGCTGTGTACCCTAATGCTCCCTTACCAATGTCACAGTCTGTGTTCTTACTGTCTTAGCCGTTGCTATTAGAAATCATTCACGGGGAGAAGACTTCCTCTTCCTCCTCACATTTACTCACATGATTCAAAACTCTTCCTCTCGATGCCAAAAATGGACGAAAATGGTGCCCCTAGGAGGGAGGCTCTGGTGGTGAAGAGGGCGAACATACCCTAATCTGATTATTCACTAGCTGGAAACCCAAAGACCCCTTTGGCTTCAGTTTGAAGCACTGGGAATTCATTTTATACGAGCAAGGCTCTGGCTCACTGCATACATTATGAAAAGGTTACAAAGTGGCATGCCACACAGGTCATGAGTTTAACTCATGAAAGTTAAACTGTGAGCCAACTAGTATGTGGAGATGACAGGGTACGGAAGCACTGCTCTTCAATCCCCATGACAACAGTCAGAGAGTACTACAGACATCCACCATTTTAGGGTTATTATTAGCTTGCAAGAATCAGGTTTGGGTTTTGCTTGCTTTCTTCACCCTTCCCTTCCACACCCCTCCACTCTGCCCTACACAATAACTCATCTCCTTCCTACACTCATGTCATACATGACATTCTCCAGTCACCTCAACGTTATTCTCACCTTGTAATCACCCACCTAGCTTCAGAGTCTCTACTCACTCTCACACCGATTATTTAGATACAAACATTAGAAAAGCCAGAATCTGCATGTGAGAACATGTGACCTTCTGTCGTGGAGACAGGCTCACCTCACTCAGTGGCAAACATTTCAGTTCCATCATTTTCCTGAAAATTTCACTTTTCTTAACTGCTTAGGAAAATTCTGCTGTATATTTGTGCCACATTCTCACTGTTCATCCTTCTGTTGACTGGCAGCTAAGCTGGTGCCATGCCCTGGCATTATGAATCATGCGGCAATAAGCAGAGGCATGTAACTATCTCTGTGGTAGGGTACAGACTCCTTTGGACATATGCCCAGGAGAGGTATATCTGGCATGTGGTAGCTGTGTTTTTAACTTTTTGAAGAACTTCCATGCTGATTTCTGCAGGGGTTGCACTACTTTGTGTAGTAAGTAGACTCTTGTTGGTTCCTGGCCCCTTAGCCCCGAAATAATCACATAGAAACCATATTAATTAAATCACTGCTTGGCCCATTAGCTCTAGCTTCTTATTGACTAACTCTTACACATTAATTTAACCCATTTCTATTAAACTGTATATCACCACATGGCTGTGACTTATGAACTAAAGTTCCATCTTGCTCTGGTGGGGCTACATGGCTTCTCCCTGACTCTGCCCTTCTTTCTCCCAGCATTCCCTTTAGTTTTCCTCACCTAGCTCTCTGTTCCCCTATAGCTCTGCTGTAGGCCCAAAGCAGTTCTTTCATTTATCAATGGTAATCACAGCATACAGAGGAGAATCCCACATCACCTTTGCTCTCCCACCAGTAGTGGACAAGGATTTCCTTGTCCCACAGCCTCTCCAGCAGTTTTCTCCTTTGACTTCCTGATCATAGCCCTTGTCACGGGGGTGATGTGAAATGTCAAAGTGGCTTCTGTTTGCATTTTTAAGTACTGACCTTTTCTATTTCCCCTTTTGAAAACTTTCAGTTCATTAGCACTGTGCCCTCCCCCATTCATCAGCAGTTTGGGGGTTTTGATGTTTAATTTTTTTAAATTCCTTATTACATAATCTAGATATTTCTCTGAGGTATAGCTGGCCAAGATGATTTCTCTTGCTGTACAGCAACTTTGTAATTCCCGATGGTCTTATGTGCTGATTCTGGAGACTGCATCCTGAACAACAGGAGTCCTGCTCACACAGTTCTTCAGGTCACAAAGTACCTGTGACTTGATCATAACTTCCTAGGTGCTCCTCTTTCAGGTTTTAAATTCAGGACTTTGATACATTTTCGGCTGATTTTTAAGCAAGTAAGACATGTGGGTCTAAGTTCACTCTTCTTCCAGCTTGTCATCTCTCTCCTGAACTAATTTTCTTGCCTCCAGTGTATGTCTTTGATGTCCTTTATCAAAGATCGCCTGCCCATGGTTGTGTGGGTTTATTTCTGGACTGCCCTTCACCTGCTTTTCCTGTGCTAGTACCACACTTCCTTTGACTCTCTAACACGCAGTATGGTTTGTAGTCAGTTACTATGGTGTCTCCAGCGTTCTCCTTGGGATTGGGTTGGTTACATTGTCTTTCATGTTTCCACATACATTTTGATATATATTTTCTAGTTATGTGAAGCGTGTCATTGGATTTTATTTTTTGACACAGGGTCAGCCTACATAGCCTTGGCTATCCTGGAACTCATTACATCGGCCAGAAAGACCTCAAATTTACATTCATCTGCCTCCCAAGCATCAGTATTAAAGACATGCACCACCACACCCACAGTCACTAGAATTTTGAAGACATTAAATTTGATTACATTAAATATGTAGATGTCTTTTGGTAACACAGTCATTTTCCCAGTATCGATTCTACCCATCCAGGAACATGGAGCCTCTTCCCCATCTGGTGTCTCCTGTAACTTCTTGTCAGTGCCCTAAGTTTCTCACTATGCGAGGGTCTATTCCTGGGAACTTTACTGGGGATTGCTATGAATGAGATGACTTCCCTGCCTTCTTTCCCAGCAGGTTCACTGTTGATATGTATGAAAGCTACTGAGTTTTGTATGTTGATTTTGTTATCTTGCAACTTTACTGAAAATGTTTGTTAAATCTAAGCATTTTCTAGATGAGTTATAGGGTCTCTTAAGTATGTAATCATGTTGCGTGTGAATGAGGGTAATTTCACTTAAGCATCTCAGTGATTCCTTGCACAGTTAATTTGTAGTTGGCATGAGGTCCCAGGCCACACAACAGGTGCTAGCAGCTTCATGTACACTGCAGCATGAAAACAACCATCATAATATTTTTAAGTGGAAAGATTTATGATAAATTTAAAGTGTGCATGCTTCAAACTGGTGTGTTCCTAAATGATAGATTAAGAAGTGTGGGTATAAAAGTGGTTGGCTTTTTCTTCATTTTTCAAATGAGAAGGCTGAGGCTGAAGAACACAATAGATGCTGTGGGAGTCACCAAAGCTTAAAAATGCAGTGATAGTTTGAATTCATTTATCTGCCCCTAAACGGCAAGTACTCTTCTAGATATGTTCAACCCTTAACTCATGTGACCATGGTGGACTTGCCTACTCAATAGATGATGTGAACATGTATACTCTAAGGTTACCATATGGCAATAACTCTTGGTATCGTTTAGTCTGTCTTGTCCTGTACTGAGCTTCATGGAGACTAGAGTTCAGCATCCAGGGTCATCTTTTAGTTCCCAGGACTCTGCTGTGTCATGGTGTAGATGGCTTAACAAGAGAATATAAAGCAACGAGGCAATCTGTAAAGTGTTATTAGTGCTGGGGCCGGGAGGGCACTAAACCTTTTCACTATGGTAGGAATTAGGCATCTGGTGAATTTCCACTGAGTTTATGGCATTTAGCTTTTCACTGACAGGGTTTTAGATGAATCTACCATGTACCATGCCAACATTGTGAACTTTGAGCATTAATCAATGTCTAGCATATGATATTAATAGAAAAAAACAATATTTAATTCTTAGGCAAAGATAATAAGGCATGCAACCTGAACATTCAAGCTAGTACATTTCTTCTGTTTGCAGGTCGCTCCTCCAAAGATTCTGTAGGTCAGATCTCTGTCCATGTGGATGTCACCACCACCCCAGGGACGGGAGAGCATAAAGTCACTGTAAAAGGTACATTGGAGGTTCAGATACTGTAATCTATTAACCTTTAACATCTACAGAAATTATATGAAAACTATCACTTCACTTCTCTTGAATATATTTTACAAACTACTATAGGACATGATTAAAATTTCTTCAGAAAAACAAATTCTTAAAACATCTAAAGACAATATATTGGGGACTAAATTTCAAAAGTGGATTTTATAATTAAATATAGACCAGTATATTCTTACCACTCACATAATCTACTTATTTTATGTTACTTTTAACTGGTTTTCCTTGTTGTTAATAAAATGGCTCAATATTATGAACACAAAACCCTGTTTTACAACTAAAAGCTTTCATTTAATAGCCAGCATTTTACTGAATATTCTTGTACTCTATTTTAATTATAGACTTAGTCATTTTAATATCCACTTTGGTTAAAACCATTGTCTTCCATTGTATGCTTGAATTGCACCATATTCCTAAGCTGCTGTGGCTCAGAACAAACTATGTGACAAGAACATATGGAAAAATCCCAAGTAGTAGTCATGCTTATATAGGATCAAGGGTCAGCATCCTTCAGTGTGTTTTAAAAATATGTAAATATATATCAAGCCCAAAAGCTTAATCTTTAGCAGTAAAAATTTTAAGACTCTTTCTACTGGTAGCCAAAACCAAGCAGGAACATATAAACATATCTATTTAGAATTGTTTATGTGAGTCCTGAACTAGGAAACAGTCACAGCATTTAGTATATGATGGAATTAGCAACTGGGAAAAAAAAACAATAAATTAGATAACCATGATGAAGTTTTGTAAATAATACTGATTATAAGAATATTTATGATACACTATCATCTAATTTTTGTATAGCTATTGAAAGTATATACAATAACATAGAATTAACTTTAATCTATTTTCTAAATATTGCATGATGGAGTTTCCCTAATGTTTAGTATGAAAAATCACCAGGGTTTTAACCTTCATTCCAGCCTTTGATTATAAATGTCATTCACGTGAATGTCAAGTTAAACTTTCCATTACCAGGGCATTCTCAGGTATTGAGTATTTCAACTTGTGGAACGTTTCCTTGTGGGTCCAGTTGGGGTACACTCAAGTACAACTTCTAGGCTATTGAAGGAATCTAGTTTCCACAGAACACAGAACAGTTTGCTGAAACTTGGCTTCTGCTTTTCAGTGATTGCTATCAACGATCTAAACTGGCAGACCACGGCCATGTTCCGCCCCTTTGTGGAAGTTTTCATGCTGGGACCAAGCCTGGGGGACAAGAGGAGAAAACAAGGGACTAAGACAAAGAGCAACACATGGTCGCCGAAGTACAATGAAACCTTCCAGTTGTAAGTCGGAAACAAAACACCACTCATTTAACTGGATGTTAGGTTTCAGCTAAAACTGACTGGAAGATTCGGGGTGGAAAGTTAAACCCATGGGTGGTCTCCTGTTCTTCGCAAACAAGATAGGCTTTGATCCCTTTACTCAGCAACTGTGCTTATCAGGCAGTGTCAGAGACACTGGGGACAGGTAGTAGATGGCCTTTGCTGTCACAGAAATGTCTTTCTAGAGATGAAAGATAAAAATGTGTGATTGTCATGGTCAAGTGGAATAATTCCAAGATAGGAGCTAAGCCAATACGAAAGAAATGGTACACAATGGAAGAGGGTGAGACTGAATGCCTTTGGGGAAGCATACACAGGAATGTACAATTATCACTTCTTGACGAGGCCCAGACCGTTTCCAAATGAAGGACTGAACACCAGATAGATGTCTTTAAATGATAGTATTTGTTGTATTGAAAGTTACAGAATAGTCTAGGCAAGAGATGAAACAGAACAGTATGAATGTGATGGAAGACTTTCCATCTGAACTAATGTAGAACGCAAGCTTATATGGCATTTGAGGCCTACTTAAAAACATACAAACATGTCGGTACAGGAGGACTGTTAGGGGTCTGTCTTGGTTGGGGTTTCTGTTGCTGTGAAGAGACATCATGAGCATGGCAACTCATTTAAAAGTAAAATATTTTATTGCGTAGCCTACATTTCAGAGGGTCCATTATCATTACGGTGCAACATGGTGGAGTATAGGCAAGAGGAAGGGGTCCCATACTCTCGGTGTGACTTTGAGCATACCTGAGATGTCAAAGCCCACCTCCACAGTGACACACTTCCTGACACACTTCCTTCAAGGCCACATCCACTCCAACAAAGCCATGCCTTCTAATAGTGCCTCTCCCTTTGGGCGCCATTTTTTTCCGAACCACCACAGGATATGAAGGCTAGGCACAAAAGACTATTACCAAAGTTGGGAAAGTGAAAATTTAGCAGTCCTCTTATGAGAAGCAGTGATCATCCACGAAGGGAAACTGCCTACTCAAAGCAGACACAGCAGGAAACCAATGTAGCAGAAACTCTGACCCTCACCCTTACCTTTTCTGATGTCCTTATGGGAGGGTTGTTTTTCAAAATCCACTGGAAGCTGGAACATGGGAACTGTAACACTGTAGCGTCATAGGGTCAGCATTCCATTGTGACATAGAAAGTGGAACAGATCCCCTGTGAGGAGAAGATACATGAATACAAGAAGCGGGATTCTGGTTTGAGGCCTGACCAAGAGGTCAGGTGAATGATGATTGACTGAAATGGTAAAAATGATAGCAAGAGTCTTTAATATATTTGTTTGGAGGCCCCTTGAAATGTTAAGAGGATATATCAAATATATGATTGGATAGCTTGAGAATTTTCTCCCTACTAATCTTTTTCTAAATCTAAATGAGCTGACCCAGAGGTGCGAAAGGAAAATAGGACAGGGCCCAAGAGATTTCTGTGTAACAAAACATACCCGTAAGAGCACTGTGCTTTGACTAGCTCACTCTCTTGTGGCTCATACCTTCAATTCCAGCATGCACAGACAGGTGGATCTGTGAGTTCAAGACCAGCTTTGTCTATGTAGTAAACTCCCAGTCAGCCAAAGCTACATGGTAAACCCCTGTCTCCTGCCATGTGCATCAAGAATCCTAGTAATTCTGTTAACAAATCAGCTCACAGAACTGTAGCCTTCCACTTCAAATCAAACAAGAACCTTGATCTAATTTAAATGTCTTCAACATATACAACATCTATTTTCTGTAAATAACTTGGGCAAAGATTTAACTGTAGTGTCTTGAGACACCATAACCAGATGTCTAGACATCTGGCTGTGTAATTCCATGCACTCCACCCTTCATCTCTCTAACATGCCATCCTATACAGCGAGCTTTCATTGGTTGTACTAGTACAGGCTAACTGTTGTTAGAAGGAAGAAACTGATAATGTGCCCTAGAGATGTGCACCAATTTTAGCATCTTGGAAATGATGCTTTTTGCCCATTCTGAGTTAAGGCTCCTTGAAATAAAAGTTTCGCTGGGGGTCAGAAGATTCTCAGTTTCTGACAAAGAAATAGCACAGATATTCTCCCAACAGTATCCCTTACCCAGATTCTATTACCCATTATCAATCCAGAGCCTCTGTATCTAATAACTAAATGTATCTAGTAACTAAATTTAACAATTTTATTTCCCATCCCGACTGATATACTCACCACCAATGAAGCTATCAGGTACAGGCATCTCAAGACATGGGTTTGACATCAAGAACCATGAGTAAAAGTTTGGCTCATTTCGTACCTTTAATTTATTTTGTGTCTTTAATTCATACAGCATTCTGGGAAGTGAGAACCGTCCAGGAGCCTATGAACTTCACCTCTCAGTTAAGGATTACTGCTTCGCCCGGGAAGATAGAATAATTGGGATGACAGTCATTCAGTTACAGAACATTGCGGAGAAAGGGAGCTACGGAGCATGGTACCCTCTTCTGAAAAACCTCTCTATGGATGAAACTGGCTTGACCATCCTTAGAATACTCTCTCAGAGGACCAGCGACGATGTCGCTAAAGAGTTTGTGAGGCTTAAATCTGAAACAAGGTCTACTGAAGAGAGTGCCTGAAATAAATACTTCAAAATGCCACCTTTGAGAAGTCATAAACTCCCACTGTTTGACCCTTACATGCATGTGAAAACACACGGGAATGTTAAAATTCACTGCGTTTTGATGTTTGCCACTAATCAACCATAATGTCTCCAAGGTATGTGAAAAACTTTTATACCAACTCTGGTCTTTGAGAAATCAATGTTCCATGAAGTGCCAAAATTATGATGTAAAGTGAAATATCGAGACTACCTTTTACAATGTTCTTCTCATAACCAATTTCTCCACCATGAAGCAAACTAAAAAATGTCTTGAGTTTATTCATTGGTTATCTTTGTTAGATCTCTTTAGAGTAATCTATCAGACAGCATCTATGACTTCCCTTCTGTTTGGTTTAACCTCACCTGACTGTAGACACCCAGGAGCTCTGATTTTCTACCACACTTAGAAATGCAGCAACTTCTAGAAAGTTTGTAATTTTATAGTTGCAGATATATTGTGATGACTTTTGCATACAAATTACAATAGAAAAGGTGGGAAATATTTTATGCTGACCACTTCCCAACCTTTCTAAAATATCACTGTGAAGAAATGCTTTCGAAGCAAACTTACACAAAGCAATGCTAACTAGTTTGTTAATGTTTGATAATATTAATGAAACTGTGTTCTTTAAAACTGCCAAGGCACCCCCACATCACATTGGTAATTTTAAAAAAAAGGAAAGAGTGGTAACCTGATGCGTTTGCCATGGAGCAGAATGTCTCAGCTTTACCTAATTCCATTCTTTGGAAAGTCATGGAATGCAAAGACAGTTTGTCTAAATTTCCTGTGATAAGTAACTTGTTGGCCAGAAAAATACTAACATATTTATGACTACTTAACTCTACAACAAGATATTTCTTTTAAAAATATTCAATGGTTTATGTTGAATGCAGCATTACTATATATTGCAGAGAAACCAAAAGTCACATCTTCATATATATTTAGGAGACAAAAATGTAAAATAAACTCAACGTAAATTGCTCATGATTTTGTAATTCGTGTTCTTATATGCCCCAAATGCAACTTGGTTACGAATACATGCATTGTCTGGATTTTTATGATTTGACTTTCCAGCATCTGTATCTGAATATTTGGCTGCAGAACATCCTTTGTCATTGTCACTTACAGCCACAGCTGTGAGTGGACTCCCAACACGTGCAGGAACAAGACACTGTTGCATTGACTATGTTAAGCAAGCACGCTGGTCTAGTACGTGCGGAGCAGAAGTGACTAGTGTCATCCCCTCAACCATTCTGCTGCTGGGTCTGGAAACACACGGGCTGGGGAGATTGGCTAATTTGTGTTCAAATCTTAGGCGACTGCTTTGTTAATGACTTTTCCAAATGCCTCGTATGATGCAATCTCTGGCATATGCATTAATAAATGGATGTGTATTGAGCTCATGCAACACTTTCGGATATTTTGCCTTCTTCTTTCATTATCTGAGAATGATAAAGCATACTCATCTCTCACCACTTACAATCCTCTTCTGCGAGGATTTAGAAGCAAATAATGGAATGCCAGCATTCACTCTGCGTGTGACAAAAGAAACAACTTGGAACTAGGAAGAACTAATACAACTGCCCAGGGTGGGCTGTGGGACAGTGTTAAACCTGTGAAGAAAACCACCGTAAAACACATTCAAAGTATCAGCATTACCAAAGAAAAACTTCAACTATAGTTGGTAGTCATTTTATAATTGAAGAATTCATTCTAGCTCTATCACAACTTAGCTTTGTAGGAACTCACTAATGTCAGAGCATGAAACACTGGACTAAGGGACAGACCACAGCTACACTGATCACAGAAATGACGAGCTAAGAGTACTTTTTATATAAACTAGACTACTTGTTCTAATTTTTTAAAGAATTTTAAATCTTTTTAATTATGTGTGTATGTAAGGCTGTGTATGTTCACATGAGTGTTTCTGCTCATGAATTCCAGAAGAAAGGAATGGATCCCTTAGAGCTGGAGTTACAGGCATTGTGAGCTGTGTGGTGTGGGACATGGGAACTGAACCTGAGTTCTTCAGAAGAGCAACAAGTGCTCCTAAACACTGAGCCTTCTCTAGAGCCCCTCATTCTGCCCTTTAAATTTATGTGTGCATATTAAATATGTGTATTGTACACACACACATATATATATATGTATATACACACACACATATACATACAGTATGTGTATTATATGAGTAGTGGTATGAATTAAGTCTAGTTGTTACTATCATAAAGTACAGGTACTAACTTTGAAGTAGTTATAAATACTGTTTTTCTATAGACCTATCCTCCAATGGTATTTCTATTATCCTTACTGCCAAGTTTGCTGTGATCTCTTTCAACTCAATGGCTCTGTGGTGGTGTGGCGGTTTGTTCATGTTACTCCAGACAAAACACTCAAAGGACAAGTCTGGTCAGTCGTGTGCTGGTAAACCTCACGAGTGCTCAAAAATACTCGTGTAAATCAAATCTGATCAAGATAAAATGCTGAAAACCTTAATGTAGCAGTCACCATCCACAGGCATTCAGATGAATTATTCAAGGTAATCAATAAATTATCCCAGTCACATCTTGCTTGGAGTCATTCCCTTCTGGATTACTTTATAGATTAACTCTACTTTTAATAAGTCACATTTATAAGTGACAGTCCTAGCTTAATGTCTTGCATTTGATTTCATTTTAATGCTTGAAAGGACATTATTTTATCCCTTTAAGATTTTGAAATTATATAAATAAATGACTATACAGCCTAGCCTTTTTTATGGACTAATTTAGTACCTTTCATCTTTATGCTCAAATAATGAAGACGAATACTACCAGGACACTTAGGGGATATACATGGGTAGGTCTGATTCTCCCCTCACCACATGGAAGGTTCCTGAGTGCACAGGACTCCCTGCTCCTGGTTCACCTATGCTGACACTCACCCAACTCACCTTTGAAGCAAGTCCTTGAAGCTCAGACATCTCTGATCAGCAGTCTCTCGGGCTCGGGCATCTCTGGTCAGCAGTGTCTGGCCCAGGCATCTCTAGGCAGGTATGTCTCTGGCTCAAGCATCCCTGGTTCAGGCATCTCCTGGTCAGGTATGTGTCTGGCTCAGGCATCCCTGGTCAGCAATGTCTGGCTCAGACATCTCTGGTCATTTGTGTCTCTGGCTCAAGCATCTCTGGTCAGCAATGTCTGGCTCAGACATCTCTGGTCATTTGTGTCTCTGGCTCAAGCATCTCTGGTCGGCAGTCCCTAGGCCAAGCTTCCAGTGTTTAAGAGGCTCAAAACCTGTGGTATGAGACATGGAAGAAAAGAGGTACCCACTTTTTTAAATTCTCTCATACAATACATTCAGACCACAGTCTCCTCTCCCTCCTTTCTTCCCAGTTCCTCTTCGCAGCCTCCCCTCTCCCCCAGATCCATTGTCCCCCTAATTCTCTTCAGAAAATAACAGACCTCCCAGGGAGGTCTCCCCACTTTTAATAAATATTTTAAATGTCCATTTTTTCAATTTGTAACAACTTTGAAAGGATACATTTGGATCCACCTTCCATGTTGCAAATCGCCTGCAGGTTGTTTTTGCTTGCTTGTTTATTTTCTCCCATGGTATACAGGATGATTTTTTAAGATCCATCTATTTTGTTATTTTGCTTCCTCTTTCCATCTTGGTGATTATGATTAAGGATTTGACTATTTGATTAATCATTGGTCTATTTGTCCATCAATGGACTGATAGGGGGAAATGTATGTATATAACTGTGGGCTGCTTTAGAGACAGAAGGGAATCCTATCATTGGGCCATGGGTAACCTGGATAGGTTAACCAAGAAAAGCTAGGTGGAGAGAAGCCCTAAGAGTGCTTACTCACGTGCACAATCTGAGAGAACTGAACTCAGGGAATAGGGAACAAGATCATGGTTACCAGATGCTAAGGAATGGGAGTTCAAAGGAAATAAAATGGGAGTTTGGAGAACGAAAACCAGGAGATCTATTATATATAACAGTAACTGTAATTAATAAAACTGTATTCTATACTTACATATCTCTATATTCTAGACTTTTACAAATTGTAAAGAGTGGATTTTTAGTGTTTTGCCACATCAAAAATAGTTTGTGAGGCTAAATATGTATTCAAAACCTTGACTTGGTAATTCTACACTGCAGACATAAATCAAAACTCATGTTGTACACTGTGTATAACTTTTACTTGCCATAAAGAAAACATAATAGTGTATCAAATCTACAAAACTGAAAATATTTCAATTTATAATATAGAGATAGGATTTCTATGAACTACCTTAATGCCAATGAAAAGGCTTTTGTATTCTCGAATGTAAAGTGAAAACTAAAATTTTGTAAATATCAGAACTCACATTTGGTCCTACTAAAAGAAAAAGAATTTTGTAAAGTCTCACCCAACATGACTGCCCTCAGACATGAGCCAAACAGGATGGCACACTGAACAGGGCAAACTGGGTGGGAAAAGCCCAGAAGGCTTTTCCATAAAGAACAACAGAACTGAGAAATTTGGGAGTGGGAGAGATGGCCTTCCCCATGAAAGAGCAAACCAACTGGTCCAATACCAAACGGTCAGTCCTTCAAACATACACACAAGTAGCACTTTATGGACAGAACAGATTATATACAGGAATGTACATGTTTGTATACCTCTATGTGCAAGTTAAAACAATTAGTAAATAAACAGCTCATGAATAGGAAGGAGAGTGGGGAAGAATATATAGGAAGGTTTGGAGGGAGGAAAGAAAGAGAAGAACTGTAATTAAATTGTAATCTCAAAAAATTTAAGTGACATTTTAGGTGGAAGTGAAGTATAGTAAATTTAAAGAAGGCAGTGTTGAATAACTTCTTTAAAAATGGCTAAGCTAGATCAAAAAATTTTGAACATGAATTAAATAGAAAAAAAATATTTCTAAAGGTTTCTAAAAATCATTTTAGAATGTGTAAGTGTGCATCTGTGTATATGTGCACATAAATACAAATGCTTGCAGAGGCCAGAGGTGTCACAGTCCCTGGAGTTGGAGTTAAAGGTAATTGTGAGCTACCCTATGTAGGTTCTGGGAACCAAGCATGGGCCCTTTGCAAGGTCAAGAAAAGAAGCATTCTTAACCACCAAGCTATCTCTCCAGCTCCCAGGAGAAATTATTAATGCTAGCATAGAATTTATTTCACAAAGCATCAAATTATCCTACAGAACAGAGTTCTCATGCAGTATTTGCAAGGACTACTTACTGACTAGATCATACTACTTATGATCTAGATTTGATGTAGGAGAGTCTTCTGTCTATGTGTTACTTTCATTGGTTAATAAACTGCCTCAGCCTTTGATAGGACAGCAGCTTAGATAGGCAGAGTAGACAGAATAGAATGCTGGGAGGAAGAAGGCAGTGAGGCCATGCAGCTAGCTGCCAGGTCAGGTCAGACATGCTGAATATTTCCCAGTAAGCCACCACCTCGTGTTGAGATACAGATTATTAGAAATGGGTTGAATCAATATGAGAGAGTTAGCCAATAAGATGCTTGCTACAGATAATGGGCCAGGCAGTGTTTAAAAGAATACAGTTTCCGTGTAATTATTTTGGGTAAAGCTAGCTGGGAGCCCGGCTGCAGCCTGCCACTCCCACCACTAAATAGATTCACCAACTAAAAGATGCAGATTATTCAAATGGGTTAAGAAAAACAAGCCTCGACTACATGTTGTCTCCAAGAACCACATTTCAATAAAGACATTCAAAAGCAGCATCAATGAAAAGACACTAACCTATGAAGCAAATACAACCAGCTCGAATGCCTATTTTCAGGTCTGACAGAATAGATCTCAGAACTCATGGAAAGAGATCAGGAAGGTCATTAGACAAGGAAACAATTCATTAAGAATAATTCATTGTAAATATGGCTGAACCAAGTGTTGGGTCATCCAATTAGTAAAGCAAACAAAAAGGTTATGAAAAGTAAGCCTTCAAACAACAAGAGGGGGAGATTTAAATACTTAAGTCATTGTATCTTATCAGCTTATAATGCAAAAAATAAGCCAACTCCAAGAGTGACCACAGAAACTAGGCAAATTATTGAATATTGATCATTACCTATTTGTTTAATGAACTGGGAGCAATTTTAAAAAAATCAGGGAAGAAATTTACAATTTCAAAGAATCAAAGTAAAATGGTAGTACAGCTTACCCAAATATTTGAGTATAATGTAAGCAGTTCTAAAAGAAAAGTTTAAAGTTATCGGGAATTATGTTAAAGTAACAAAAAGATCTCAAATAAACAACCTAATGATGTGTCTTAAGGGTCTAGAAATCCAGGAAAACAACAAACCCAAATGCAACCTACAGCAATGAATAGTACAGGTTAGGAATGAAAGTGAGTCTTAGATGAAAATGTGGTACATTTACACAATGGAGTACTATACAGCAGAAAAAAATCCTGAATTTTGCAGGCAAATGGATGGAGCTAGAAAATATCATTTTAAGTGAGGTAACCCAGACACAGAAAGACAATTATCACATGTACTCACTCATAAGTGGTTTTTAAATATAAAGCAAAGAAAACAAGCCCACAAATCACAATCCCAGAGAACCTAGGCAACAATGAGGACCCTAAGAGAGACATACATGGATCTAATCTACATGGGTAGCAGAAAAAGACAAGATCTCCTTAGTAAATTGGGAGCATGGGGACCTTGGGAGAGGGTTGAAGTGGGGGTGGGAGGCAGGGGGGGAGCAGAGAAAAATTTAGAGCTAAATAAAAATAAAAAAATATTTTTTAAAAAGAAAGAAAAAGATAATGAGTCTTAAAGAGCAATATTTAGAATTAAGGAAGCAAGGAAGAGATTCTTTAGGAAGATAAGATGGACAAATTAACAAAAAGATAAAACCCAAATTAATAAAATTGTTGATTAAAAGTTAACAATGCTAGTGACATATTATTAGTAAACTATTCATTTTTATTATTTATTAAATTTATCCATTTATGTTACATCCCTACTGCAGTTTCTCCTCTCTTCTCCCATTTCCTTCCCACACCTCCCCCACCCACTCCTCTGTTTCTGTTCAGAAAGAAGCAGGCCTCAAAAGGTGTCAACAAATCATGGCATAGCAAGTTGAGGTAAAACTAAGCTCCTCCCCCTTCCATTTAGGCTGGGCAAGGCAATTCAATACGGGGAATAGGTTCCTGAAAGCCTGCCAAAGAGTTAGGAACAGGTCCTGCTCCTATCAGTAGGAGTCCCATGAGTAAATCAAGCTATACAACTACTCAACTGTCGCACATATGTAGAGGGCTTAGGTCAGTATCATGCAGGTTCCTAGCTGTAGATCCAGTGTCTGTGAGTTCTTATGAGCATAAGTTAGCTACCTTTGTGGATTCCCTTGTGATGACCTTGACCCCCTGGCCCATACAATCCTTCCTCCCTCTCTTCAACAGGATTCCCCAAGCTTGGCCCAGTGGCTGCCTGTGGATCTCTGCAACTGTTTCCATCAGTCGCTTGGATGAAGGCTCTCTGATGACAACTGGGACAATTACAAATCTGATTACAGAGATGTCCAGTTCAAGCAACCTACCCACTATTACTAGGAGTCTCAGCTGGGGTCATCCTTGTAGATTCATGCGAGTATTCCTTGCATAAGGTTTCTACCTGATTCCAAAATGCACCCCCAACAACAAGATGTCTCTTACATTACACTCTCCATTCCTCTATCACCTTACCCAATCCCCTATGTTCCCATCCCCACCAAAACTATTCTTAAGAGTAGATCATTGTATAATTTCTCCCTAGTGCAATGACTGGGTTTTTGGAGCCCATTCCCTATGGAAGAATACCTTGCTCAGTCTAGATATTGGGGGGGGGGGAGCTTAATCCTGCCTCAAGTGATGTGACAGATGTTGTTGACTCCCCATGGAAGACCTCACCCTTTCTGAGGAGTGGCTGGGGGTCAGAAGAAAGGAGGAGGGAGCAGGAGGAGGGGAGGGAGAGGGAACTGGGATTAGTATAAATTTTTTTAAAAAAAATTGTTTAAAAGAAAAAAGGAAAAAAAGTAGACCACATGATCCAACAGTAGACAGCCAACAGAACTCCAATCCAACACCCAACAGTGTCTTTGGAGGTCCCTTGTCTCATAATGTTATGTGGAGGCTTTATTTTGTTTTTTTCTGCAAGTTTTGTATATATATAATATATACATATTGTATATATATATAATATATACATATAACATTTGTATATATAATATATACATATAATAAATATATATTGTATATATGATATATATGT